ACATAGGATCCTCGTTATGTTTTTTTAATGAACTTTCATAAAGAATTCATACAGCGGTAGTTTAAAAGAGTTCCTTAAAAAGACATAAAGCACAGAATGGCCATCTTAGTTACAGACTATAAATTTTACACATGGCCCGTGCATAGGTACAACTTGCAAACCGCAGCTTCTGTACGCAAACAATCTTTTGCTCGTAAAACTTTTACTGCTAGCGTATTATTTTCCCATGGTACTACAATGAGTTTTAGAAAATACCTTAAAATACATCGTTAAAAACAATCTAAATTTTAAGTGGATAATAAACTCGGAATTGTAGTTAAGTTATAACAACGATACCAGAACTAAGCTCTTCCGTGTTTAAAAATAAACAAAACTGAATTTTACTAAAATAATATCCTATAATTAAATATGGATCAATTTTGTTTTGCAATTACACTAATTATCAATTTTAATTTAAAAAAAAACCTATTTAATTTAAAAGTACAAAGTATAGATTTATATTTAAAATACAGTGTAAGCAATAATATTAATAGAAATAAAAAAACTTTAAAAATATGTTTTATTCAAATTTGTTTTGAAATTGTAGACATAAGTACCAAAAAAATTTGAAACTCTTTTCTCTCGAACTCTCCAAATTTATTTTCATTTTTTAATAATCAAAATTTCTTTATAAATAATTAAAATTGCATTATTTGAATTGCAAATATGCATATTTTATGGCGTATTATGTAACTGCGCCACTTCAGTATAAAAGCTTGGTGGCATTATTTCCGCCATTGTGATATAAGCCATATGTACGGAAGCCATTTTGTGATATAACATGAGCAACATCTTTGCTCACAACGTCTCAGAAAACTTTTGTCCAAAACACGATTATATTTGATATTTTTTTAATATTTATGGCAAAAATTTCAGGACGTCATCAGAAATGACTGAATATTGATATTGATTACTTTTCTTTCTATACACTGGATTATTTAAAGTTTTCTTTACATTTTAATATAATCTGTTGAACATAGGTCTTCCTATAGATTGCCACATAAGGGAAATGTTTCCATAGTAGCCACGCTACGGGTATATACGGGTTGACAAGCGCAGGTTCTTATTTGTTATTTTGTTTGTTTTTTTATGATGTCGCCTCTCACAGCATCCACGGGGTTATATGGACTAACGGACAGTCTTACACTGTTATGGTAAATAAATGACAGATGAGACAAAATTCAGAGATTAGCCTGAGAGAAATTCAATTTGTAGTCATGCTTTGTACGTTCTCTTTGGTTCTCAATAAAGTTCAGGCGATAATTGAACTTTGCACTACAATTACAACGGTGAACAACAAATCCCGCGGTGTGTATTGTGTAAGAGGCAAGCTCCTTATTTGACCCGTATGTCGATACTTTCACATTATATCATCATTAATTAAAGTTGATTGAAACGTAATAATATGGATGTCTTTTGACCCTTCACCTCGTTAGCTTATTATTTTTTATTCTTTTGTCGAAACATTCTACCAAAAAATCGTACTTTCTAAATATTTTAGGCCCCGTAACCCAAAAAGTAACAATACCAGTAACAGTAACAATAGTACTAAACAACAGGGTAATGTATAAATTTCAGTCATTTGATAATTAATTTGATAGATATGTCATTTGATAAATTCAATTTAATTTTTTTAATTAATAGGAATAATTTTATTTTTAGGTTTTTATTATTGTAAAATATCTGGATATACTAGTTGTTTACCATGGCTTTGCTCGCGTTGACTTAGGTTTAGCAACATAATCAATTAGTATACCGTGCCAAAATTTTGAAAACGGAAAACTTCTTGCGTTATGTTTTGCGTGTGATTTATTCGCATTAAATGATTGAAATATTCGTTTAATTATTATTCCCAGTTACCCTAACATAAACGGTTGGTCTAAGGCTTTTGAGGAGTAAAATAGAAAGCTGAAATTTTTTTTTCTCTGGAAATCGCCAATAGTGCCACCTACCGGGTCTTAATAGACTTTACGACCCATTCTCTTATCTACCAAATATACATTAAAAAAATCATAAAAATCGACCGAGCCGTTCCGAAGAAGTGCGACCACAGACACTGTGACTTGAGAATTTTATATGTAAGATATTATGTCCTTTATTTATTTTTGTTTGCAAAAGGTTAGTAAATTAGAAAAAAAAAGAATAGTGATTAATACGAACTATAATACTTGATCAGAAACAGTGACATCTAAATAGTCATTACTTCCGGCACTTGGCAGTAGTTAAAAGTCTAATAACATAAACATGCTCATCTCATGTCATTAAACGCGCCATCAACAAAAAGAAAGTAAAGATCGACGATAACTGTTAGAAAACCACAACCTTACGTTATCACTTGACCTCGTATACAACGTGCGTGACCGCAACACACATTTCACTTCCAATTATCTTGAAGCACTAGAATAACAGCATCCGGTGGAATTTGTTTGTCAACATCGTTACTAGGGAATTATCGTAGTGCGCTAGGGTTTTCCTGCGTTTCTCCTTTCATTTCTGAGAGGGATATTGAGCTATGAGTTCGCTCCATAGCTCCAGTGTGTGTTAGCTAGGTGTACTTTATATATCCTCAATATATTTATTACTTTTAACCCTCACCTATATACTCAAATTCTATTATTTTTCAGAGCATATTGTAAATCCGCACTAAAGATTGCAATTTACAAATTGATTCGTGCCAGCGGGATCGTAGAAGAGTTTAGTTCTTTTCAGTATCAGCTGTGATAGCTCAGAAAAGGTTAGCTCCTGAGCTTTCACAGCTTACAATTATAGTTACCTACTATTTAATTGAGATAAAAGGATGTGGAGCACGGGGAACAAGAAACTACTTAAAATTTCAAAGTATTCCAGTTTGAACAAAACAAGTTTTTATGGATGTTATCGCGCATATTAACTCATATTCCCAATGTTTCGAGCACTTTACAGCATCCACGGTCACGGAGGAGACTGAGGTTCGATGTCGCAACGTCATAATTAATCACGGCTACCCCCAGATTAAAATCATTATTTTTTATTAAAATGCTTAGTATTTGCGTAAATATAAATCATTATATATTCCAGTTTGATTAATTGCAATTTTATTGTTGATATACTATATTATGTTCCTGAAATATAATATATTTTGAGGACATTACTAGGCATAGAAATAATTTTCTTCCTAGGAGGCCGTCTGGGTCCCATCCTCTTATCTATTTCCGCCGCTAAACATATATATATAGTTATAAAGGGCCAGTGTAATGACATGTTTTAAGACATTCCATTTTAGTCCTCATAGGTGACAATGCATCATTACCCTTCTTTTTTGAAGATGGTTGCAGATATCCATAGGCTGCAGTAGCCACTTACCATCAGTTTTTTTTTAATTAGTTTGCCGAACCTTGCCTGTCCCGAAACACTCTCCGCTACTTTTTGTTTTTTTTTTGTTTTTTTTTTAGAAATTCAGCCAGTATTATTGGATTAAAAAAACAATGGCATTAAAATATCAGAGAATTAAAAGTAATTTAGGTAAATAATGTCCTGGCTTGTTGCATATTTTATTTTCTATTTTCTAAATTTCTATTTTTACTAATTCATCTAGCCCCGTTAAAGCAAATGCGTTAATACTATGGTAGTGATATTAAAATAACGCATTAAATATGCATAGATATTTAGGTATATTCGCCGTCAAGATGAGAATACGATTTACGTAGATAATAAACATTAGCTTCAATCTGTGACACGATGTCAAACATGTATAAAATAGAAAGCCATAACAATATAATAACGTAAGCGAAATGACTTTTTAATTCACAAAACAACATTATTTAACTTTTTATTATATCCAATCTATTGGTATTAAAATAAAGTTATAGGCATTCTACACTTCAACGCAAGTATAGAATTATACGCGTAAAATGTAATGTAAAATTACAGCCTATACCCACCTATACGAGTACATCCCACTGCGAAGGCCTCTGAGGGCAATGGAATTGCTGCCACACTGCCTCAATGAGTTCTTGCGGACTATTTTCTTAAAAATAATTCCTTAAATAAAGTTTTGTCAAAGCAGTGGCATACTCGATATATTATAACGTATTTGAAAGTTACCAAAAAGATGTTAATTACAGTACAATTGCGCCATTTATGTTTAAAAGGGCTAAGAATCTAAATGCAGATGTGTTGTCATCCCTGAGCAATGAGATGAAATGCCTCATTTCCAGTAAAAAGGGTCTCCGGTTCTTTACACTTATCATACAAAACACACCAGAATTAAGCTGCTATTTTACGCTGGTATTCTGTGAGACCATAGTCCTACCCCGGTCAAGCAGATCCATTCATTCTACAGTCATAATATAGCTGCAGCGTGGCTCTACTACGTAACAATTTCATTTATTTTTTAATTTAATTTTTATTTTATTTATTTGTATTTCCTTTTACAGTGCATAGCCCTTGCGCTGGTTGCCTGCGCCCGTGCTGAGCCCCCATCCGGCTACAGCTACAACCGTCCCTCTGGAGGCTTCTCTGGAGGTTTCAGCGGTGGCCTGAGCGGTGGCGGACCTCTCCGCCCCGTCTCCTCCGGCTACCAGACCTCTGAAGGACAGCACGTTGACGCCCAGCTCCTTGAGCAAGTGCGCCAAATCCTCCTTAAGGAGGAAGCGTCATCCGGCTCAGGTTTCGGTGGTGGTCACGGCGGCGGTCACGGCGGCCAAGGCATCTCCACCTCGTACGGTGCCCCCTCATCTTCATACGGAGTGCCTTCATCATCATACGGCGTTCCCGGTTACAGCAGCCGAGTTGTAGGCATCAACCTTGAGGGAGTCCGTCAGGCTATCCAAGTCGCCGAGTACGAGCAGTCCGGCGGCTCCGGAGGCTACCCATCTTCGTCGTACGGTGCCCCCTCCAGCAGCTACGGCGCCCCCTACTAAACAAATCGAATGCCTCACGTGTTCGTTATTCGGGCACCATGACATCTCACGCCCGAATGTTTAAGTCAATGGGTTGATCAACACGTACAATGTAGGTGGTGGCGACCTGGCCGTTGAGACCTGGCCCCAACGCTTGCGACTGTGCGCGCTCACGGGTTTGTTAACCAGCGGTGAGCCAGTCGTGGGGAACGGCTCGTCCGAGTTCGATTCCTGGTACACGAAGTGACTCACCGCTGGACTCGACTCTTTGTTTTGTATAAAGTTTATCGTTAAAGTTAGCATAATTTATGTTTAAGTTTTTTTACAAAAAATAATAAATACATTTCGACACCGTATCTTATCGTTTCAGTTCGTTCGATTCGAAAAGACACTCCAACGAAAATTTGTTACTTTTTATGTATAAAATTAAAACAACAAACGATTTCCAAGACAATTTGATGGTAAGCGAGCGCTAACCGTGGTAGCTTAGAAGGTAAGCGTTTGCCATGCTTACTAAAATTACACAGTACGTGAGCTAATCGGGTTCGATTTCCGCCGGCACCAATTAAATTGTAAATTGCAATTTTTAGGGTGATTTACCACGTGCTCGACGGTTAGGGAAAATATCTTGAGGAAACCTGCATGTCTGAGAAATGAGAAAAAAAATTCGAAGACACGTGAAGTTCTCTAAAACGCATTGGGGTAACGCGGCGGACACTTCCTTGCACTAAAACCCTTTCAGATATGAGGCAGGCCGTGCTCAACAGTGGGACGTATACGTATAAGCTGTAACTTTATCTTTTTTAAACTTTTGATGATATGTGACTACGGCAGGTCCATGGACATCTAAAACCAACTTCAAACAAAAAAAGCTGTTTAAAGTTACTTTTGGACATACGTTGTTACTTCTAAAGACTAATTACCTTACAGCCGGTAAATATGATATTTCAGTACAAAAGTCGGACCTGAAGACAACACAGGATGCTATGTAGCTGTGAATATAGGATTATAGTGCCCGATTGCATATGCACAGGTGCACTCTCTATTCCCTTACTCTCATAGTCCGATGGGAGGGTAATCCGACAGGACTAGAGAGAGATCAGGCGCAAGACCAATGGCTTAAAGTTCTTTCCGAGACGCGTGGGTGAAACACCGACAACTTCCTGACTTCATGAGAATTTCTTAACAGGAAACTTAGTCCGACCCGACAATTTAAATTAATTTATAAAATTGAACAATTTATAAAATTTATGGTGAGCTTTTAGCCCTAAAAATAAAAAAAATATTCTTCTTTTTTTAGAAAAGACTAACGTGTCAAACTCATCCCACTTGAAAAACGTAACGAACATATTACGTAAAAATACTTTTACGAGGTAGAGTCATATTAGTAGTATAGTTGTAGCACGAATGGGTCGGCTTGACCGGGAAAGGACCACTCTCTCACAAAATACCAGCGTAAAATAGTAGCTTAATGCTGCTGTTTTTCGTATTGTGAGTGTAGAGAACCGGAGACCCGTTTTAATGGAAAGGAGGCATTCCATCTTAGTCCTCATGGGTGACAACGCATCTGAATTTTGATTCATAACGAGGATAGATGTCGATGTATATGAGCCACGGCAACCACTTACCGTCATGTGGACTGTGTGCTCGTTTGTCACCCTTATCTTATTAAAAAATCTGACGATCACTGTTCAATGTTCACTATAACAACTTCATCATGTTGATCAGCCCATGACAGTCCACTTTCTAACCCGATAATCAGCTATGCCTCCGTAATTACTGGCATACTGTTACCGTATCAGCAGTCTATTAAAGTCCACTGCTGAACTAAGGCCTCCCCCCACAGATTGCCTCATAGGGGCATATTTAATGGCCACGGGTTGGCAACCGTAGTTTTTTTTAGTCATTATTAAGAAGACGCTGCAGCCCATCTCCTGATTTGTTTCCCTCTGTCGGCTCTTACGAGACCCACAGAATGTTATGGGTTAGTGGGTATTCTTACGCCGCCTCTGCACGGTATTTCTACCATACTGCTTGCACATTCCAAATCTGGAGAATATAATATGGTAGCACCAAACGGTTCACTGAAAAAAGACCACGCTTACACAGAACAGCAGCGTAAAATAGCAAAGAAAATATTGCTTTATTTTGTGTATGAGAAGCGGAGGTTCTTTTTACTGGTAACTAGGCATACTTTTTCATTCATCAGGGATGACAGTGCATTTGCATTTTGTTTCTATGTCTGTGTCTATAGGCCACAGCATCCATATATCAGGTGATTTAGGTGAACTATGTGCGAGCACACAGTTACCCTTAAATGTATAAGAAGAGCATATTATATGAGTCCATAATAATAATTATCAGCAGTCCATTCAAAGATGTTATAAAACATCTTTGAGTCCATCATGAGACCGCTGGTCCAACACATAGGTCTCTTCCAAGAAATGCTACAATCACTGTAATGAGCCACTAAATCCGTCGGCTGCCCTACACTTTGCTCACCTCTTCGAAGCTGCCATTTAGGATCTTTTTTCTGTATATTTGTCTATTTCCACTTCAGCTTACTGATCTGTAGGGCTAGGTCGGTTACTCTAGTTCTACTTTGGATATCCTCATTTAGAAATCTATCACAAAGACTTCCAGCATAGGCCTTTTCATAGTTTGCTGAACGACCTTGAGCTTCCTCAAACGTTTAGCGAGTAATTACATATTAAAGTTATAAGCAACACAGAAATATACAGAACGTTTAGCTCTTTAAATCTTCCCTCCTGAGCCGGGTCTACGTGCTGTTTTCGAGACTCATTACGAATCGTCTCGCGCGCAGACTCGACGACTTCCAGCCTCCACAAACCGGTTTCCGAAAAGGATTTATTACTATAGGCCACATACATACCCTGCGCCAGATTGTAAATAAGACTGAAATGTACAATCTGCCACTTTGCCTTTGAATATGTTATAGTACCTACCACGGTACAAAGTCGACTGTCGATACGATAAATCGAAGTGTTGAAGTAATTGTACAGTAAGATAACCATGACTGAGTATGAAAACTACAAAGAGGTAACACAATGGGACGTTATATCCCCGAAACTTTTCACCACTGCATTGAAAGACCTTCCCCAAGGAAACGGTCAGTAGTTCAAAAATAAAGGTAAGTCTAACTTGGATCAAGAGGTCAATCGACGGATTCAACTCGGCTGGGCAGCGTTCGAGAGAATGCGACACCTCTTCTCGTCAGGTATACCTCAAAACTAGAAAATAAGATTGTACAGAGACTTGTTGAGACATGGCCCTACACTGCTGGTCATATGAGGAAGCTCATAGTCGTTCAGCGAGCTATGGAAAGGGCTATACTCTGAGTATCTCTGCGCGATAGACTTCGTAATCCGCAGTAAACCAAAGTAACAGGCATAGTCTATGTTAGATACTAACCAGAGTAACTTTTTGTTCTATGTTATATATAAGTGGCAGCCTCCTACCGGTAAGCGAAGGATAAGGCTCACACTAGATGGAGTTATGGCCTATTAAGAGATGGAGGAAGTGGATGGATGCAGGTGGCTCATAGCCGTGCTTTGTAGCATTACTTCGGGCAGGCCTGTAATGATGATGAAGATTTACACTACAATTAGATACTCCTTCTTACTAAATAATATAACAACACATCTGCAATTTTATTCTTAATTTCATTTAAGTGTCTATGAGCCGCAGCATCCACTGACATCAGGTGGACTGTGTACTCGTTGGTTACCCTTGGTTGTAAAAAAATTGCTACATTTTGGATCCCCGCTGAAAATGGAAGTAATTTGGTAATTTAAAAAGAAAACACATTTTAATATTATCGAAAAAGTCTTAGTCTACGAGGCGTGATCCAAAAGTAATGATAATGTATATTAAACCCGGTGATTATAGTTAAAAAAATTATTTATTTTTCTACATAGTCTCCTAACAAGTCAATGCATTTAGTTCATCTTTTTTTAAACCAAAGTTCCCTTAAAAAAACCTTTATCTTGACCATCCCAAAAAGCCTCAACAGCGTCTCTCACTTCGCTATCGTCTCGTAAACTTAGCCTTATGTTTGCTCTCAAGTGAGCTGTAAGTCCGTATATCATAACAATTTCACTTAGAAATGTCAAATGTACCTACGTATATTGATATTTTTTAATTATCAATTTTAATATGTCAGTAGCCAGATGACTTGCAAGTGCAGAATAAGTTATTAAACACATAATTATTCTCAATATTGATATTTTTAAAGTAAGCTTCTTTTTATTAACATTTTTTAATATCTGTCTGCTGCATTATAAAATGTTATTGCTCAGAAAATCTACTAAATTAATATAAGTTAATCGTATCGAAAGCTCCGCGCCAAAACTATGATGTCAAAGACTTTTAAAAATTACATCTTTAGGAATAATTAAACAAAATTAGTGCCATCATTTTCGTGGCTATTTTTTGTTTTGTTTTTTAGATGTAATCGTGTCTAAGATAATAAAATTAACGTCTTTAAAACTAGTCATTTTAGGGCACAGACGCATTGTTCCAAAGCACGTTTGGCTTCGTATTATGTCCTCGAAATATTTTTACTTTTTCAGAGATGCAAATCCGAAGATTTAAAAAGGATATATAGTAATGTCGGCGGAATTTGAATTAGAGTTGCTTTTCTACTTTAAAAAATTTAAGACCAAGCTCTGCAAACTACTATATTACACATTACATTTTAAATTGTATTATTACTAACTGTACCCGCGATTTTATACACGCAAACATAATATGTTATATTGTCTACGCATCTTTCTAATACATGTAAATAAATCACTGTTGGTGATTTATTTGTATGTATTAGAAAGAAGGTGAGAAATTTCTTGATAATCACACAAACTAGAGCAACGCGACGTCGAAATTGCTCCATAATCCTTTCAGGAGGCCTATTCTAGTGGTGGGCTTGTGGAAACTTTTCTTTTTAATTTACATTTAATAAAATCATCTATAATAAACAAATAATTAATTCAGATTTATAACTTAAAAATATTTGAACCAATACAGATATTACTTAAATAAAAAATTTGCAAAAATAAAAAATCAAAATTGGTTCATCTAAAAAGAAATTGCATTCACCAAAAAGATAAGTATCTTTTTAGATTCTTCTTTTAGTTATTTCTTCTTACAGTAAAGTTACAAGATTAGAAGTACAGCCATTAAGGATTAATGTTTATAGATTTTTTTGAGTTAATATTACGACAGTCGCATAGAGCTGGTCGTCCGAAAAACAGCTGATACTGAGATCTACATCGGCCATTCTTAGC